ACTACGACGACTACTACTACTTCTTCTACTACTACTACGACTACATCTACTACGACGACGACTACTTCTTCTACTGCTACTACTGCCACTACCGGCGCGACTAGCGTATTGTTATTGTTTGTGCATTTCTTTCTTGGCCAGGTTTTCCATCCCCGTCGGCCTAAGCGCTGGCGAAGAGGAGGTCCAACGAGATGGTTTGTTGTTTTGGGTTTGGGGTTAAGGGTCTGGGCCCGCAAGTATAGAGTTTCGGTAGTTTGGTACCTGCTAGAAGAGGTGGTGGCAATCTTACCTTAATGCCATATGCAGAGCGATGCGAATCACCAACACAGCCCCGATATCTAATAACAACAACACTGAAACTACGTTGCGGAGCAGAGAGCAGCAAGGAGTGTGGCTTCCGAGTGCAGTGTTTTCGGGTTTGAGAAAGCACTAACTAAGCGTCAGGACGACTGAAAATGAAGCCACTCGAAGAAGCTTTGATCCTCAAGCTCATCGCCAACAGCTCGAGCCCTAAGCCCGTAACCTGTTCAGACCGAAACCCGCTTTCCATTGCAAGCACCAGGCCCTCGAACCTCGCTTCGTGAGCTGGCTGGGCTTGCATGTGTGATGCCAGCAACACTGTGACGACCAATAGTAAGAGCAGCAATAGTAACAATGGCAGCTGCAATGAAAGGCAGGAAGATGATAGCAGCAGCAGTGGTAGTAGGCATCATTGCGGTCGTAGTGCGCGTAACAACCACAGACAGTGATGGTGGAGGAGATACCGCAAAGCTTAAGGTTTGCGAGTTAATGTCTCGCGCCGGCAGAGGGTTGCAGACGGTATTACCAGCCGCTGAATATGAACTGCTACAGATTGTGTTGGCTCACGGTAGCATGCGGCGACATGACACAACAGCAAGTCTCACCATCGAATTTGGCAAGAAAATGCCGCCATCGAATTCACTTGTGCCTATCGCAATCGCCACTCAAAAGACGCTCGTCGCTGCTGGCGCGATGCATTCCGGGTAGTCCTGCCAAGCTCGTGAGGGTATGTCGTTCCGATCTTTGGCAACTGTGCTGCTGACGCGCTCACGATGCCTGCAGTTTGCACGGGCAACTCTAAGCCCTAAAACTCCAAAACCATGAACAGCATAGATCGTGAGTCAAAGGCGCTGACCCAGAAGCTCCAGAAGCACGGCTTGGCTTAGATTTGCTCTCCCCAGGCGCGAAGAATCCCGGGATTTTTGAGGCGTTATTAGGGTTTAGGGTTTACTTCTTGGGTATTTCTAGGTGGTTTTTGACAGGGTTCCACGGGGCTTCGTGTGGTTGTGTTTCAAGAGGGTTGTACTTGGCTTCTGCAGTAGTCAGGGTGTTCTTCAGATGCGGGGCTTGGGATATCTCTGAGAAAGTTCCTTCTTTCATAGGCATATTGCCTAAACCCTAATACTAAACCCTAAACCTAATAGGGGTTTCCTTGTGTTCGGGATTCATGAGGGAGCTTGGAGTTGCTAAGTACTTTCAGCCGCTTCAACTCCTTGAATTCAGCAGACATGCGAAATTGATCCACTGCCCACTCGTTTGCAAGCTATATGGCTCGGGGGTGCAAGGTTCGGGATTTAGAATCAGATTGATTTGGCATGTAGAAGCAGCCGCGCATCCACAATGTCTTCGTGCTAGCTTGCGGCTGCATGCCAACCATCCTTGAAGATAGCAAGACGAGAACTCCGGGGACGCTCGAGCAAAACAGCCGGAGGGATGAAGCTTGTGGTGTTCGTGGGAGGCCAAGAAGGACTCGCTTCCCGGGGCTTTGTGCTAAAACACTAGCCCCTAAAGCCTAAAACCCTTTAATTACTTGACCAGCTCAGGAAAAAAGAGCCCACCAAAAAGCCGCTTAAAGCCCGTATGTGCAGTTGAGGCTTTTGGGAACTAAGCATTGCAGAGCCAAGAATTGTGCTGGTCACAGTTCAGCGGTGGTTGGCATGGTGGCACAAACATTGTCATGCTCAGCACTTTTGACTCACCAGAGACAAGAGTAGGCGTCATGGTGGCTGGAGTTGAACTTCAACAAAAGCTGCTGCACCGGCTGCGGATGCTACCAGGAGAGGCTGCGCAGGCCGAGACACTCACACCAGATGTTGACAAGAAGCCGATCCCTTCAAAATCCTCGTCTGACGAGGATCGCTTGGAGGATATGGCCTCCGAAGCGAGCAAGCTCCGACAGCAGATCTTGAATGCTAAGAAGGAGAAAGACCTTGCCAACAGAAGGAGACAAAAGATTGAAAACGATTCGGTCCGCCATCACACGAACACCGCTAAGCAAATCGCAAACTATCACTGTCGGTTGCGAGCTATGCACAATACTATTACAGCTGACAAAGAAGAGGCCAATATTCTGCGACAGAATCGTCGCAATGACGAGCGGAAGAAGCAGTGCCACCAGGCTCAAGCCAGAAAGCTGAAAGAAGAAGCTGAATTGTGCAAGGCGCATAAAGCAAAGCTCGTTGTCGAAGTGCAGGCGGAGTCGGACAAGCTGGCTACCCTGTGGGCAGAAGTGAAAAGCTACGAGCAGGCCTTAAAGGAAGTGTTGGAGCGCAAGGTTTTGGCGGAGGCGGAGGTCACGGCAACCAGGATGTCGCAAGTGGCACAGGAGGAGGGGGAGGAGGAGGACAACACGAGGAATTTCGCAATGCACAGTGGGAGCGAAGACGAGCAGGAGGATGAAAACGAGGAGGAAGAAGCCAGAGTGTTGAACGAATTAGAGCTCGCCTACGAGGGCTTAGAGTTGTCCTCGATCATGCCTATCCCTGCAGCAGTGCGGCTGGCCACCGGCCACATTTCACACCAAGAGAAAATGTCGAAAGTAGACATCCCCGAAACCGGCTTCCTGGAGAGAGAAGGCGTCGAGTTTAGCCGATGGACGCGGCCGTCGCCCAGTGGAAAAAAGGATTGGACCGAAGAGGAGCTGGAAGCCGAGTACGGCGAGCATCTCAGGAATTTAGAGAAAGTCCTCCTGGAACTTCGGCAGGAACAGGCGGAACAGGCGGAGGAACGACGCTGCCAGTCGCGGCTTGCTGCCCTCAAGCAAAAGAAAAGGCAGGAGGCTGCAGCGGCTGCGGCTGTTGCAGCAAATCGCTTCCCATGGAACATGGGAAAGTGGATGAGGAGAGAAACGCCCGAGGCCTCGACACCAAAGGTGTCTGTGGTGTCCGGCTTCTCCAACTTTTCGCCGTATGCGGCAGTGTGTCGTAAGTACACGGCACTCTCAGTCTAAGGCAGCGCAGCTTACAAGTGAGACACTGTCTTTCTCGTACAGTTTAAAGTTTGTTTTGCCCGGCTATGGCTTGAGAGTTCCTCGACACATGTGTATTTTTGCATTCAGCATGACCAGCAGTTTTCTACATATGAACCGGTCCGCCAATGCGCATCCGTCGGCCAAGAATCAGAAGACTTTCGAGCTGAAGTGTTGCTTCCTGCCCCAAAACATACTAGGGTTCGGGGTTTCTGTTTCAGGGTTAGGGGTTGAGGCATTGGGGTACATCGAAACCAGACATGAAGGTGGTCGGCTGAACCAAACATTTGGTTATAGAAGAGATAGAAGGCTCCATAGTGGTCAAGGCAAAGGAAGTTTCGGCTTGAGATTGCTTAAGGGTTTAGGGCTTGTTGGTGTTGTTTTGGGGCGCTTTACAGTTACGGGTCTTTGCTTTGGCTTCTACGATAGGCGTTCAGGGCTCAGGGTTTCAGTGATGTGTTTCGAGTTTGGGTTTGGGTGGAAACCACAGCTCAGCCCCCCGAACCCCATCTCCTGTACCTTACACCGAACAACCCTAAACCCGAAAGGCCTAAACCCAAGCTTCAAGCGAGGCTCTGCCGCAGCGGTCCCTGAGTCTGGCTGGCAAGCTGTCACTCCTGGAAGGGCAACAGTTCAGGAGGTTTAGGTTTTTTGGGGGGGGAATAGAGTATGGAGTCGATAGTGCAAATGTCACGATGTTGAGCCCTAAACCCGTAAAACCCTTGAGCCCTACTCTGCTTGGGTTCGCCACTTCAAGGTTCGGGGGTTTAGGCTTGTTTGAGCTACGGCTCAGAATTGGGACTAAGTTTGGGTTGCCAGCCCAGGTCGACCGGCGAAGTCATGGCTATCTGTGCCCTGAACCTTGAAAGCCAAAAGTTGAAAGTAAGAAACTATGCCGGGGTGACTCCTGTCATGAGGTAAGGAGCTACAAAAAAACGACAGAGCTCGTGAAGAGACTAGCGAAGCAACCCAAAGTTCTTCAAAACTTGGGCAATCCTTCAAACAATGCGTACGGGATTTAGAACGTTCAGCCCAAGAACTGTTGCGACGAATTTGACGACCGCCGCAGCCATGGGCCTGTTGCACAAGGCGACTCCGGTGCCACATAATTGGAGCTTCTCAAAATTCGGGATCTCTTTGCAGTGGTCCTTACCATAGCTTATCATAAGGATCCTACCTATTAGGGGTTTCTATTGGGATACCTCGTATTTTTCATACCCCAAAACCCGGAACCCTAAATCTAAATTCCCTTATCCTTGGGGTTTAGGTTCAGGCCGTCAAATCTGGCTGCAGCAGTAGACACACCTTCCGGTTTATGAACATGGATTCCGGGGTATAAAATCTCGTAAGGTTATAAAGGACTACACGGGGGCATGTAGTAACGTAGTACTGATGACTCAGAAATCCGGCAACTACGTTGTGCTTTGGGGGTTCTTGGTGAAGCAATGTGGACACCGGATTGCGGAATGCTGTAGTCTGGAGTTGTGAGCTTATGCCTTCGCACGGAACGTGCGACCTACAAGGAAAAGCGACTTGCACGCATGCACGTGCCACCATGCCGGGCACATTGAGACTCCTGTCCCTGCATCTTTCTAGCTGATCGAAGGGAGCTGCAGATGTGTGTGTGTGTGAGTGTGTGCGCAGTGATTGGCACATCGTGCATTGCACTACATCTTCCGGAGCTCACCAGCAACGGACACAGACTCAAAGGCATACACCAAATTTTGTTGTTATCAAACCTCTGTCTCATGATGATAACATTCTACCCTGAAAAACCTCAAGGCCCCCATCAACCTCGCAGATGCCACAGAATTCCTATCCAAGCTCCCGTGAGAAGTCGCAGAAAACCATACTCAGACCCCTTGAAATCATACCTTCAGTTGCTGTCGGTACAAGGCAGAAAGAATGCCTCTTTCGGTTCCTGAGCTCGATGAGCAGAAGCGGCAAAGCGTTGCTGACATTGCTGCTTGTCTACTGTAGGGGCCTAAAAAATTACCAATACTATTTTGGGGGTTCCTTACTGTAATTATGGTATATTGGGCCCCAAACCCTATTCTAACTATTAAGGCCCCTATATTAAGTCTAACTTCCATTGGGGTTTCGCAGGGGTTTGCAGTTTGCCGTGTTCCATAGTTAGATCGGCAGTTGTGCGTGTAGTACAATGCCGCTGCACAAGAAGATTACGAAATTCAGCGCTGCTTAGAAATCCTTAGCCTCTGGTATTCACGCTGTTCCGATTTAAGTTGGGGATGCACGGCTTCACCCTGAAGCTGAAGTCAGACTCACCTTCCGTTCGTCGCAGCTGTAGATGCGCATTCCAAGATTTCAACAGAGTGTACTTCGATCAGCATTTGCTCTTTTCCACAGACATATCGAGCAGCTCATACAAAAAAACACAGAAGAAGCGAAAGAGGGGTCCAGAGGCCGCTGAACCCACATCAGCATATGCCCTGAGGCTTTGCGGCTGCTTCTTGCACACGAGCATTTTGCCTGGTTTCCTTCCACAACCTACGGTCGGGGGCTGAGGTAGATGCATGACTTCACTGCTGTACAGTGTCAAAACGCCTTGCTGCATTGCTCAAGGTTGTTGCAGCGGAGAGCTTGCTTCGCCAGCGAAGGCAATGTTTCCTGTTGTCCTCTGTCCTCGCCGCCCGTCAAGCATTCCGCCGCCAGCATCTTGCTGAGTTCTTGAACCATCTTCCCCGCACGAAACCGCAAGCAGTCGAGTTGAGGTTAGTTTCCCGGGCGCAGCACCTGCAACCGCCACGTCTTCGGGCCTGGTCCTTCCGCTGGAATTCGAGAGGGGAGCCTTCCTCAGCTTTCAGGCCAGAGCCAACTTCTCCTGGCACTCCGCAGAAAATTTTCTCTGAGCCCAGACCTGCACCGCTGGACATTCTGTGACACCGAGTGAGGAAAAGCACGCGATTTCCCGAAAGACACCGGAAGTGACAGTCTCGCGCAGGTCGGAGAGGCGACCTTTCGAGGGGTTGCGGACACCGGCAGTCCCTTCCTACTTGTGGCCGCTTGCGTGGGCTCTCGTCGGGCAACTGGCCGCTGCAAAGAACCTCAGAGCAAGTTCTACCCAGTCACTGTTTTAGTTTGAGGTGCTGCCGATTGCCGTGTGGTGATAGTTTAATGTCATGTAGCTAAAAGCTTCTTGGGATGCATTCTAAATGCAGAACGGGCAACCTCTCAAGCACAGGACTACTGCTCCCGATACGGGTGCAGTCAGAAAGACTTTGGGACACCATCGGGGCTGGATGATAACATCGTGAGCTTCGCTGGAGGGTATGCAAGAGATGCTTGGCTGCTCCATTATCCAGCCTTCGTCGGTTCATCTAACTTGGCCGCGGTGTATAGCGGCATCCACGCATGTTCGGCACAGGGAGGATGATGCGTGTGTATGAATCACTTGGGAAGTGGCTGTGGACATCGGCTAGATGCTTTGATGCCAATGCTCAGTATGATAACATGGCAATCCCTCTGACTTCAGAAAACTGATGCAACCAGCGCTTTTAACCTTTTTGTTCGGCCGAGATTTGTAAAACCAGTCAGTGTGTGCGTGTGTGTGTGTGTTGTCGCAGAGGGGAACTTGCTTGATGTCTCCGGACCCTGATTTCGTTAAGCCGCCATGATAGGGTGGGCCAAGGGCTGTCGTTGTCCTAGTCTCCGCTGAAGCAGGTTCTCGTGCTGCGAGATAGATCATAAGGTGCTCAGGTGCCCACTTCACACAAAGTGTTTTGCCAAGGCTGTGTGGCGCTGTGGGGATGTGAAGCTGGGCCAGCGTCTTTTTCCTGGCCGTACCTTTGGCGTACTTGGTGAGACGCAGAGTTTTGGTGGCAACGCGGGTGGGCCCAACTTCGGTCTCATCAAGTTTGCCACTGCAGAAGATACTGAGATCCGACCGACTTTTCTTAGTCAGACGCCCTGCGAAGCTCTAGTTTTCGACTTTACAGACATGTCCAATCCTGTGCTGGAGTTGACGGATGGGTCGCCACAGCAAAGCGATCGCCAAAACACGACCGAAGCCTTTCTTACCGACTTGAGGCCTTACGGCACGGGCGTACAGTATTATGCCGTTGCCGTCGAGAAGTTGTTCGTGGATGGAGTGGACATCCTAGATGCTCGCGCGCCGACGGTTGCCATTCTGGACACTGGTACAACCGGCCTGGTGTTGCCGAAGTCGCTGTTCTTGTCGTTTGACGCCGTTCGACGAGTCAGTGCTCAAAATGTCGGCATCAAGCGTGCAGGCAACGTAGAAGTTCGACTGATGCCGGTTCCAGGCAGTGAGGGTGGCGCATCTCTGAATCTGCGCCGAGGGCGCATCGCCGGCTTGGATGCATCTCTTGACATCGTAACTCCCCTTGCCGAAGATGCTGGCAGTGTTTTCCTGAGGGCCGAGATGCGAGAGATGCAGGAAAAGCAGACTTTCAAAATCAAGAAGAAGGTCGAAAGACCAGCTGTCATTTTTCTGGGCTTGGGATTCTTCGCCGGACTGCGATGCTTGGTAGCAAGCATTGCCCTGGATTTGGTTTATGCTCTTGGTTCGGCATCGGACCGCTTATTGTGTCAAGAACATTGCCTCTGCATAAGGAATGCGCATTGACACGGTCGCCGGCAAGGTGACCTTCGCTTGAGAAAGGAAAAGCTCCAGGTCATATCGATGCCAAGGCATCCCATCTAGATAGCTTATGTCACCGTATCGTAATACTATTGGACGAAGAGAACTTCTACAAATCTGATGATGCATTCGACTATTATTGGGATTAGGACGATCTTATATATAGAATGGAAATATAGAAATTACTAATTGATTCATTCACATTATTTTTTTCAGAATATTATAGAAATACTATATAATATTACATATTCTATAGAGATTTTATTATTGGTAAATATTTTTTTTACTGAAAATAAATTGAGATATATAGATTTTTATAGATTTATATATATGTGTATATATTTGTCTATATATCTATATATATATTCTTGGCTCTTATATTATTGGCGACAGGGAGAAGGGCTAATATTATTATTATCTTCTTAAATGTTCGATAAGAAATTTCTTTCTTAAAGATATTATTAAGGTATTTATTAAAATTCTTGAAATAAATTGTAAAAATATAGATATAAAGATTATTATGTTTATTTCTGATATAGATTTATTTATTTTTTTATAGATATATATATATACATATTTA